GCGCGGAAGCGGAGAGAGGAACGCGGAGAGCGGACTCCACTTGTCTTAGGTAATTTAATGTTACCGGTACTGTTTTCCTAGAAACAGAGCAGAACACCATGTTAATCTCTTTTCCGCTCTCCGCGTTCCTCTCTCCGCTCTCCGCTTCCGCACCTAGGAAAGCCCAGCTTTATGCCTAGACTGGTTAGAGCTTCAGATAACTTCTTACTGTTTAAAATCAGAAGTGCATTTTAATTTGAACTATTAATTAACTGAACAAAATAAATTCTTGTATTTTTATTTTGGTAATCATACCTACTAGCATGCTACTACAGTAGCCTATACTCGCACCTATACTGACAAGTAGTAGCGTCAGCTCTATTTATCAATCATAGGCCCTTCATAGCTATTATGCTATTATTTACATTTCCAGGTATAGGTGTTGAACTACAATGTATGTGGATTTATGGAAACTAGGCCTAAAGGTTACTGTGAATTAAGTTTAACTATTTTTTAACTATTTCAGATTTCTAGTAATTTGCCCAAAGCTGTTAAAATCCTGGGAAAAGGCTGTCAAAAGAAAAAAATCTGAAAGAAACTGTTTAGTATTGATTCTTTGCAGTAAACATTTATCTGATGACATGACGATGAAGTTTAAGTTAGATAAGACTTGGAGCACTTGTCAAGCTCCTTAAAGATGACGCTGTACTCACCGATTATGTACAGCAGTTCAGAAGAAAAAAAACACCGCCGTGGACAACTTTTCTATGGATAGCCTGATATTGTTGAGGTAAGATAAGTTATGCTTTTACATCTTAATTACATATTAAGTTAAGGTTTTATCATAATAACATAATGATCATAATAAACCTAACCTAACTCTGCAAAGCGCTGTACAGTGACATTTCAGGGGGTTACAGAAAAACTAAGGCCTAGGTTGTTTGACAGTGACTGACTGACCATTTGAAATGTAATCATTGCCAGTGGTCGTGCCCCCGTCTGGTATTACTCCACCAGAGAAGCAGTCCATCTTTAAAATACCGGTACCTTAAAATGAAAGTCTTCTGTGCCTTAGAATGTTAAAAGTTGTTTTCATGTATTATAAGATCGTAGGAATAGGCCTACTTAGTTTTAGGAAAAAATAAGCTGGCATAGCAAAATTTCACAGACAGAAATCGGTGCTTATCAGCTAACTAATAACTTATGATAATATTTTGGCCTTAAAACTCAAGCAGACATATAACCCTATCAGAACTACAATACTGTACTACCTACTATAATATTCGGAAATAATTAGGCTGTTGTCCTATTAAAGAATACAATTTAGCCTACAGTGTCAACATTTTCAGGTGCTATGTGTCTTTATCGTTATTCATGCAATGTTTTAAAGTCCTCAGATTATCCTAAATTTTTCCTTCCGGATCGATATCTGCCATATGAATCTGGTGACAACCTTACTTAACATAGGCCTAACTGCCACAGTGAGAGTAATAGTGACACTAACTTATTACTCTCACTGTGGCAGTTAATAGTGGCGGTAATTTTAATGAAATCCCTGTAAAAAAAAAAAACAATAAATTGTATTAGCTAATTTTGGTTGCACTTCCATATAAGGCCTGTGGCACAGCAACATGGAAGTATTTAGTGTAAAGTAATTGTGTTATCTAACGGAACTTTGAAACCTAACTATACCCGATTTAGTATTCTATTATTTTTACTATTATTACTTTTACCTGGTGTCAGCGCAAGTGTAGCCTTGATTCAATTCAATTCAATTCAATTCAATTCATTTATTTCCACGGTAACACCATTTTTACAAGAGGTACAATAAGTAGTAGCTATCAAACTCAAATTTAACAACAAATAAAGGCTATTCTGAATAAATTACAATAACAAGAACAAGAAAAACATATCAACAATGAAGATGGAAACCATGATAAATTTTTTAAAGCAATAACAAAACAAGACTTAACAAAACAATAAATACACGGTTTGGAATCCTCTAAGCAAGACTTACATGACAAAAACAGATATAAATACTAAAGTGACAAAAATAAATAGCTGATCGAAGGTTGAACACAGTGCCGTTAACATGATGTAGGCATTAACTACAAATTATTTACAGAGAAGAGGCGACACAGATTGGAGCGGAAAGCAGCCACGCTGGAACGGTGAAAATCCAACACTGCGCCGACCTCGTTGCCGACCCGCAAAAGGCGAGGGATAGTGCTTCGCTGTAAATATACAGTATTGTAGTGCCTCCGCTCAAACGTATCCTTGGATCTTGTGCGGACAGGAACGTGGAATGGTATTCCTCCCAAAAGCTCAGGGCAGTCGATATTTCCACTTACAATCTTCATGAGAAACAGAGCGTCCGAAATTTTCCTCCGATCTTCCAAGCAGCATAGATTAAACTGAGATCTGATGAGATTCACGGGAGCATCAAGGTAGCGATATCCCATTCTGCAGCCAAGGACCCTAATAAAACGAACTTGAACACTGACGAACTTGAAAAAACATTGATTTTTTTATTTTTACAGCTCATTTCAGTAGAAGCGAATTATTATCTCACACTCACAGTTTTGTCTAGTTTGGTTTAAACCCATTGGCGCCGACTTACGAGCGTTACTCGTACGGCCGCTGCAGGCCCGGAGGCCGACTTACGAGTGCCGCTCGTGTCACCGCTAGGCAGCGCCATTAGTTATTTAGTTATTATTATTTTTCGCCCTTTTTGTTTCTTCTTACTATTATAATGTTTATAAATATCTTGCTTCTTTATTTGCGTATTTACTCATTTATTTTAGCGAATAACAAACAATTTTGTGTTGCCATGGAAACCACATATCACCAAAAATCAGCTGCGGTAAGGTAAATAAACAATAAAAAAAAATGTTATTACTTATAAAAGTACACAACTTTTGATTTTTCTACGTAGGGAATCGATTGAACTTTATAATAGTAGTGTTATTTGGTGTCTGGATTAATCTTGGAATTTGTATATCAAGTTTACTTTCAAAATATTGTTTTTAAAATTTTTATTTTTATAATCTTTATATATATATATTTTTTTTTTAGTTCAGAACTTTGACTATCCAATTACCACTTTTCTGTAGACAATTTTACTGTGAACAAAATGGTGAAAGAATTATTAATTTATTACCTAAGGTTTTCTTTCTATAGCAGTTAGAGTAAAAGTCTACAAATTCGGTAAAATTAATTGCCGCCAGAGGGTGCTGCAGGTAGCGCATTAATTAATTCCTTCCCCAATGGGTTAATCTTGATTGGTTTTTTGATTGAAACTGTTTAAAAATCTGAATCAGTAAGGACCACCTCTTACTTTTTTAATCGAGTAATGTTTTAAAAAAACTAAGGCCTTTTTTGTTTCAGACTCCAATTGAACCCATGGAGATTAAGACGCCAAGACAAAGCACAGGGAAAATCAAACGGAAATCAGCCAAATCCACCACAGCAAACACACTCAAATTGATAGTTCAGTTTCTCCAATGAAAAAAACTCCAAATGTAATGACCTAAGACTTGGATAAAAGAAGAATCACTTTGTTTTTGTGAAATGTTTAAATACACTGTATTTGGACTAATTAATTTGTTTTATTTACTAAACCTCAACTTCCTCATCAATAAAATTTCTATTGTGCCTATTGAGGTTTCTAAATTAGTTAAGTTACTCTTGCAAAATATATTTTGTTTTATTTCACAGTCATTGTTTTTTAATATTTTAATTCTTGCAATTTGGAACTTTAAGTTATTCAAAATACTTAACTGTCCTTCAGCATTGGAATTGTGCAATGTCAATGTTTCACAATAATTATAATTGCCTAATGAAGATCTCAACTTATAGCGAAGACAGTCAAACGGTAACAGTGGTAAAAAAATAACATTTTTTAGGACTCTAACATGGATTTTTACATAGCCTAACTTGAAAGAATCTAAGTTTCAGAGGTTTACTGTTTTCATGCGTCTTGTTAATAGCCTAAACTTAATATAATATAAGCTATTTTGAAATTTATTTAATTACCCTTAAAATGGTGATTCTAATCTAGTAAGGAATAATTTCTGGTATTGTGTCTTTAAAAGTATGATATAACAAATTCAAGAATTTTATAAATGTAGCCTATTATTAGTGAGTGAATCAGAATCATAGCCTACAGTAATAGGCCATAAATTGCATCCATGGTTCATGGTTCACCTTAAAAGGCGTTCATGGTCATGCCTTAATAAAAATAATATATTACTTTTATTTGCTTTTACATACAGTTCTGCAGTGCTAACAGATTGTTATAATCAAAATTATTTTAACTGTATTAAAAAAAAAAACTACATATCCTATTACTTTCAGGTCATTTATGATTAGTTAGAAACGTTAAAGTATGATTTTTAGCCAGGATATATACTCTCTAGTTATAAAACAAAGGAATGCTTGCCATACTAGAAGCTTGATTATAAATATGTTTAGAATTTTATTTTGGGCCCCAAGAACTGAATATGCAATGAAAACCTCACAGTTCAGATGTTCAAATGCAATTTATCATGTAGATATATTACATGTATCTCTGAATTTTCGGCTATGTCAGGTAATTGTAAATAAAGACTAGTATTAACAGAAATGTTATCACCACAAAACGCATTTATTTAACTTTTTTCAAGTAAGAACTCGAAGGTTGAACATGCGCTATCAGCCCATTTATTAGCATGCAATTTTAAATTTCGCGCCAACTCCGGCCTCACGCAAACATGGCGGGCGTATGACGCGGTGGTGGGTGGTGTTACGAGAGACAAGGGTTCGTGAAATGGAAACAAGGTATGCAACCTTCACTTCACTCTCGCTCGTAACGTAACTTACGATAACAACATCGGTTCGATTCTCTACGATTACGATTTCGACTTTCAGTTGATAACAATCGAAACACAACCGAATCATACGGTTGGTCTGTTGTGAACCCAGCACTATCCGATCCAAGCTCCACCAGCTCCCAGCTGTTCAGTTCGACTGCTTTGCTTGCTTGCTGTTTACTGTTTAGTGGTGTATTGAATTATTGAATGATCTGAATTTGTAAATTTTTGTGTTTTGCTTGCTGTCTGGATCTCTGGAACAGTGGAACGTCATCGTCAACGTTTGATCTCGATCTGTCTGAAGTTGTTGTTGTTGACCTAGCCAAGACCAACTTAAAAAACACCGGGAATATTCGTGTTTTGTTTGATAGCCTATTATTTATCAAAATTGAGAATTGTTTTCGAACTTTTAATTCATAGTGTATAGGTTGTAATAGTTTTAGTGATTTGATTGGTGAAACAGGTGATGCTAATAACAAGTAGAATGGGAAATTACATTGGAATATTTAGGCTAGGTTAACTGTGCCCATTTTTATAGGCTACCCTAGTTCAAGTTATAGGGTCTACATTGCTCAGATTAAACTTAAGTTATAATTGACATTGATAAGTTATGGATGGTTATACTGAGGAATTTGATTTTCCGTTGGACTCAGAAAGGTGCCATGTAAACGATTTGCCGGATGAAATACTAGAATACATTTTGTGTCTTTTGAGGCCTTATGATGATCTGAAGAAATGTATGTTGGTCAGTAAACGCTGGAATAAAAGTGCTGTCAGTGAGTATATTTTTACTGTTTTTAACTTCAAAACCATAAGTGAGGTAGGTAGGGCCTGTAGATACGGTAACTGAGTGCTTTTAACTTAGGTATAGTGCTCACTTAGTAAGAATGTCGCTGGTTTCGATCCTAAGAAAAATCAGTAGGCCTAGCTTTTTGATGGTTTGAAACTGGGCCCCAGCTGTTCTTCATCACTGGGCTTTTATAATAGGCAGAGGATACATGTCCAGTAACCGGACGTGGGTTAGGCGTCTGGCAGTTAGGTACTGTCATAACCTAACCAAACTTGCCGATAGGCTAATGAAAAAATCGAATGAAGGTTAAATTCTGTTCATAAAATAAAGTTATAAATGCCTCAAGTTCTATTAAAAGATGTACAGTTAAGAAGAAATGGCATTCTAAGCAAAATCAAGGATGTACATCGGATCGTTGTGGTAGTGGTGTTCCGGGGCCCCACAACCCAGTGACGTCAATGCCAGACGCCTAATCCACGTTCGGTTACCGGCCACGCGTATCCTCTGCGTTTATGTTAAGTTAGTCCTGACTAACAAAACATCTGATATTATAGTCAAACTTTTAACAAATAAATGTAGGCCTACACAATCTTACTCCATTCTACCTTTCATATTCAGCTTAAAACATGCACCCAAATGTGTTGCTCTCTCAATGAATTGATCGAGATTGATAGTAGCCTAACTTTCATTACCGGTACTAGGCTAGTTCTAAGTTAGAGTAGTATGATAAAGGTCTAACTTTGTAGGTAGGCCCAAGTTACCTAGGTAAATGCGGAGACCTAGGCTAATAAGAAGACAAAAAGGTTCACAATTGTAGCATGGTAATGGTCTATTAGGTAAAGTTCTCCAGACCTTTTATTGACGTCTAAACTTAGCCTAGAAACTGATGTTAGGCCTAGTTTAAACCATATTCTAACTTATTTGTTTTCTTCATTCTTTATTCTTAGTCTTATTTGGTATTAGGCCCTAATACTGTAAAAAATATTAGTTAGTGTGGTGGAAGAAGACAAAATGAAGGCTTAAGCAGCCATAGAGATATCGTTAACCTTAGTTTAGCCACAGTCAGTGAAGCCGGAATTATCTGATAAGTAAGTGGACCAAAATCTGAAAAAAATATATCTTCCTGTAGGTCTAGTCTAGGTTTAGCAAAGATAGATTTCAGTAGCGCAGCACCCTATAGGCCTAAGTTATTCAGCTTTGAGATAAAAGATCTTTTTGTCTCTTTTAAGAATTTATATTTAAAGACAAATTTAGGCTATTCATTACGGTACCTACTCATATTGTTGTTTGTTGTAGTCATGTACAGTTCAATTGAAATTTTTTTTAGAGGTCGACGACCTCTTTTAACCTTAAATTTGCCTGTCCTCATAGGATACGGAACGTATATCCAGCAAAGCAAGGGGTGAACCAGTACAGCACAAGGGTAAAGTGTAGGCCTACTGATAAAAATTAGTAGGTAGCCTTGCAGTACTTAATGGTAACATGAAGTATTTTATGGTTACATGCAGTACTTCATGGTAACATGCAGTCAGGATCCAAACTCACGACAGTCCCTTAGCGCATACCTAGTTAGGGGCCTACTTCCATTTAACTTACTTCCATTATCTATACAAAGTAGGCCTAGTGTGTAGCCTAATTTTTGTTTAAAACAATCATCCTTTCTAATTTCTGTTTGTAGGATACCACAAAATCTAAGTTGTAAGTCTTGTCAAATTTTTTTCAGATGTACTTCATCATAAGAAAAACAACTTCAATCGCTGTCTTGTGAATTTCAACATCAAATGGGAACACTACACTCCCCCAGATAAATGTCACAGCATTTCAAAACGATATTCGCATTCTGCATGCAGTTTTGGTATGTACCGTACATGTTCCATAATTTATACCAGCTATTATCGTCTTTTTATTGAACGTTTTTGATGTTCAACTATAACCTATTAGTCAGTATTTTATCTTTAATTATCAAAATGATGTTTTACTTACACATACTGATGGGGCGTCACAATATCTCAGTTGATTTTTTGCCTCGTTGCCTCTACTCTTCTCTATCCTCCGCCATCCGGATTTCTCCTCCGCATTGGATCACATCCTTTTTGACTTGGTCATACCATCTCAATTTAGGCCTACCCAACGGACGTCTTCCTGTAGGTACGGCCTCAAAAACCTCCTTCAGTCTTGTGCCATCCTGTCTCCGAAGTACATGACCTAGCCAACTAATTCTTTTGGCTTTTATAAGCTGCACTATTGTCAGGCTATTTTTATAGGGCACGCAGCTCTCTATTTTTCCTTATCCGCCAAACTCCTTCTTCATAAATTGGGCCTAATATCTTTCGTAGTACCTTATACAAAGTACCTTATTTTAAATCAAACATCCTTCATTTATTTTGGTGAGGAACCATGTTTCACTTCCATACAATAACACTGGCTGTATAATCTTAATTTTGAGCACATCTTGATAATAGTTTGGATGATAAAAGTTTTGTACAGGCCCCAACGCTCTTATTGGCATTTGCTAGTTTACTTTGTATATCTCCAGATCTTCAGAATTCGAACTATTCATGTTAACTCCTAAATATTTAAAGCTCTCTGTATTAATTGAATAGTTGGCAATGTGGAAATTTACATCTCTATATTGTTAACGTTTCGGCCAAAGTGAACAACTTTAGTTTTTTCTTCATTTAGCTCTAATCCTATCTTCTTACATTCTTTAATAAAGTTTTCAGCTAATAGGCAAAGGTTTCCAGAGTTTTCAGTTAAAATTAGGTACCACATCATCTGCAAATGCCAAATAAGTCTATTCCCAGTTTTTTTATTTATTTTTAATTTTTTTAATGATGTTTTAGTAAAATTAAATAAATTATGAGGATTTTTACTTAACACTTATTCAACAGCAAAAAGTGTTACAAAATAAATTAAACAAAGCACTTTAATAACAATTGCAAATTAAAAATGTCTTAAGCTTTCACTTAAGTTTACTACTACAATCCATTTAATTAACAGTGACCATTTAGGAGAGCATTAAAAAATTACAAGAGTCGTTAAACAATCGATAAAAAAAACATGTTTTGTCACTTTATTGTGACAATCTTGTCTAGAGGAAGTTCAACTTATTTCTTGATCTCGTGCAACGTTTTTAATTCGTCACAAGATAAGGTTGATAAGGTTTGGTTTATGATTTTTCTTAAAAAACCTAAATTTAAAGGAGGGTCAATTTCCAGTGGCTTTTAAGTAACACTTGTCGAACAAATCATAGATAATTTATTATTTAATAAATTTGCTTTTGGAAACTATAACTATGTCATGCCAGTAAAGTGTAACATTTTCAAATTACAACAGGGTATTTAGCCTATTTGATCTTACTTACTAGAGCAAAGAAAATCAAAGGTAGTTAGAACTGAACTTAAATTGTTATCCTATACCTAGCCTATTTTAAAACTTGCCTGATAAGTTAAGTATTTTTTGACAAATAAATCAACAATATCTATATCTATAAAAGAGGAACTATGTATGTGTGTGTGTGTGTGTGTATGTATATACGTTATGGACTCCGAAACCGCTCAACAGATTGTAATGAAACTTTCAGGCATTATTAAGCATCTTTCAAGGATGGTTCGAGTGAAGTTTGGTGCAGATCTATCAAAAGGGCTCTGCCCCAGAGCAAGGCCACACTAAAAAAACAGGCCGTAATGCTGGTCCAGCATGACGTCACGATAGAAGACGGCAATGACATAATTTTGCCGTTTGTGATCAGCTGCTTGTTTTAATCTTTCATTGGAAAATAAATAAATAAGTACTTATACGTCATAGCCGTCTTCTATCGTGACGTCATGCTTGGCGAGCATTACGGCCTGTTTTTTTAGTGTGGCCTTGCCCAGAGGGTTTTAAGTGGGCCAATGTCAGACTTTTTGATATACAATGTTTACAAATAAATATAATTTAAAAGCAGATGTTTACTTTTACCAACTGTTTTGTAGGTTTGAATAATTACAACATTCTGTATAAGAATTAGCCATGATTTGAAATAGTGCCACAGTGTTTCTACAGAGTGCAGCACAGAAAACTATTTTACTTTTGAATAAGTCCAAATGTATTAAACCCCAATCGCAGCACACCTGTGCACTTAACAACGTTTAAATTCTCCAATGTTAAATATTAAAACATAAAAACCTTTATAAAAGTACTGTATTATAAACAATAAAAGGGATGCTTTTTTAAAATTTATGACAACAGCTAATTTGCAATCAAAAGGTGAGTGAGCGTAGCGAACGAACATCAACCTGGAGGCGAGTAAGCGTAGCGAACGAGCTAACCTGAAAACAAGTGAGCGCAGCGAACGATTTCCAACCTGAAGGTGAGTGAGCGTAGCGAACGAACTTCAACCAGGACGTGATTGAGCCATGCGAATACTTATGAAGTTAAGCGGGGCAAAGCCCGCGGGTACAGCTAGTAGACCTATATATATCAAAATTCAATATTAAAAACTGATAACCCAAGTAAAAATCGTATATATAAATTTTTTTTCCCAGTTTGTTTGGCTCTTCTACCCAACCGATTTTCATGATAGAGGTCTCAAAATGAAGGTATGCACGCACAGATTTGCCATCAAGCATTGGCATACGGTATATTTATCTATAATCCCACTCGGCTTACACGTAAACAAAATTTGCTCCCCATGTATTTCTTATGGGGGTTAAATTTAGTTTCTTTTTTCCGAGTTCGTTTGACTCTTCTACCTGACCGATTTTCATGATTAAGGACTCAAATTGAAGGTATGCACGCAAAGTTTTCACATTAAGCATCAGGCAGGATATAATTTCAGTAATACCTACTGTATTACCTACTGTACTATACCTGTATTACTCTGTGGGGAGCGAGCTGGCATAGTGGTTAGAGAGCGGAACTTCAGTCCCTGAGGTCCCGGGTTCGATCCCCGCCAAGTCACCAATGGATTTTATCTAAGTGATAATGCCGCAACCCCTAGGTCTAGCCTGAAGTAATGTGAAAAACAATCCCAGGCTCGTGCCTAGCGTCTAGGAAAAAAAAACAAACAAAAAAAAATTTATTACTCTGCCAAAAAACATAATTTGATACATTTTCAAATTCTTACTACAATTTAAGATGTATTTAACCAGTTATAATTATATAATCCTATATATTTTGGTCTTAAGAACCTTCAGTGAAATCGTGCTTTCATTTAAGCTATTAGTTATTGAAATTGAACAAGTTTCAAGCAAATACAAGGTGAAAACCCACATAACAATTATTTTTCATAAGGTTTTTCTATGATTAAAAATCAATAGCTCCGACTGAAAATAATCAGTAAATTATAGGCTTTAATTTGAGCTATTGATAGTTTGAATCAGTTAAGCTCAAGATACTGTATTACTCAATCATAAATCATAAATTTTATTATTTCTCAGATATTATATTTATTTTAACACTGCAGAGCAGCATGGGTCCTCTAGTTATTTACTAGCTGTGTGCCCGTTCTACGCACGGGGATCTTAAAGTAGTCAGTTGAAATCTTCTTACATTAAGAACAGCAGATAGTTTGCATATTTTTAGATATGCTGGCAAAACTATTATATACAAACCTTCGCAAATACAGTTTCAAGCCAAAACACATGCTTCGCAATTAAATGTCACCCGGATCGTGTTATGTTAAATCCAATGATTAAACTAAAAAAGCTTTATAGGCCTAGATCTATGAGGCATAGCCCTAAGGTAGGCCTATAGTTGAAAGTTACTTCCCACAATGGTTCAAAGTATTTAAGGTACTATCTCAACCTCACCATTTAACACTTTATTCGGGTTGACATTTTAATTATCAAGGTGCTCTTGTCCTTTTCGTGACACTGAGAAATAAGGACATAAATGCGTTACCAACAGACATACACACAAAAATGCAGAATTTAATTAGGGAATTTGCTACGTTTTAAGCATAACAAAGTACATATAAAATTAGTATTTGAAATTTGTATTAATGTCATCAAATTTAATCATACCAATCTATATTTAATTGGACCGAAGATGACCCAAAATGGTGTCGAAATGGCGTCTTACTATATGAAATGAAGTACTATAGACAATTTAGATTGGTAATTTATAATAAAAATTACCAAAATAGGCCACAAACTATTGATGCATAAACAACGTAAATCATAAACAATTCATGAGATGGTTTGTTAAACAAATGTTTTACTTAAATGAGTTATCATTTTCTTAGCATAAACTAAAACTTTGAATCCAGACAGAAAAAGCAAAACTTATACAGTTAAGACATAAATTAAATTGAATAAGGCTGTAATACCACTGTATAAATAAGGTGCACCATGAACGATAACTAATTTGTAAATTACAGTGATAAGTCGGTACGTAAAAATGATTCTTGCTGCTACCAACGGTTCTAAGGAAAAGAACCAGTACCAAAAACCAACGTTTACAGTTAAGAATTACGTCCGACAAATTAAATGCGTTAATCAAGTCCCAAAGTTATTAATTTCTTGGTTTTGGATTTTCTCGTAAAAGGTTATTGGCAATCAAAGTTATTTCCCATTAATTGCTTTATTCGTAAACAACTTTTAATTTAAAATTATTGGTGTCAGTTTGAAAAAACAACAACCTCATACAAACAACTGTTTGTTATTTAATAGATTACGTAGGCCTATTCTCTAAACAATGATTCGTATATCTTTTAACATTAGAATGAAATGTGACAAAAATGACACAACACTGGGTTTTTGGACGTTTGTAATTTTATTTCTTAAGTAGGGAGGCCGTGTATTCTAGGGAAAATTACCGGTATCAAGGATCGTCGTCGAAAAGGTTGTTATGAATAATTCGGTAGGCGTAAGTACCCAAGAGATGGGCTATGGGCCTATTGGCTGTATGGTCCGGCGATTGCATCATACGGTGAGTAAACAGAAAGTGACACATCGGAAAAGCAAGTTTAGCATAATCCATAAACCGTAAACCTCTGTTACAATCACCCACTGCAGTTGTGATTTTTTACTTTACACTTTACACAACCGCCATTGAAGCGCCGTCAATGAGTGGAATCCTTGTTAGTAAGCTATTGGCGACGACCATTAATAAATTCAAGTTTCCCAGCATTATACAACACTGATTCAAGGTCTTCTTTCTGGTTATCAAAACTCAAGAACAATTTTACACACAAAGGATCTCTGGTTCCTGACCTGGATGATGCCTAGTTATTAATTATTTCATTTACGGTTACACTATATTATTCCACTTGCGATTAATTAAATCCGTTATGTAAGACAACGTTTTTAACGTCACTTGGATGGGATTTACCTTCAAAACGTGTTCGGAAATGGTTGCGGTATTTGTAAACAACATTTGTAAACATGTCAGTGACAGCTAGGAAAAATAATCTTGATCCGAACAGCTGTTCGTTATTTCATAGATCATTATGTGATAAAAATTGGACGAAAACTTGACAAAAATCGCACAAAACTGCATTTTTGAACGTCCGTAATTTAATTTACTAAGTAGTGAGGCCATATTTTAATAGCTAAAGACACTCTCGCCAATCCAGTGAATACATTAAAATGACTTGGATCTTGATAGGTACTCTCGTTTTCCTGGAGAAGATTGCGTAAAATGCCATCTTGAGTGTTACAGAAAGACAGAAAGACAGACAGACAGACAGACAGACAGACAGACAGACAGACAGAAATTTAGATGAGACTTGTTTCGGCTTCTTTAATGTATAAAACGTAAAAATAACCTACAAATTCATGATTCTGAGCAATGTACAGACGAAACTCAAATTTTATTTATATAGATTAAGATAATTTATTAAGAATAGCTGGGTAAAATAAATATATGTATATATCTTACTAATATTATAAATGTGTATATATATATATTTATCTTACCCAGCTATTTTACGGATACAATAGCAGGGTACCTCTAAATGACCAGAAGTTCACTGGTTTCTAGAGAAAAGTAGGGTACTAGCTTTTGGTAGTTAGAAACTGGATCCAGAGCTATCCTGGATCTTTGGGCTTTTAATAATCCTGGCTTAAAGAAAAAAAGGTCTCAAGTCAAAGCTATACAGCTATTCAAAGCTATATAGCTCATCCCAATCCACATTGCAATCATGTCCAGCTTGAAGCACAATGATCCAATGGTTGTTTTAATAATTATTTTCAGGAAATGCTATGTATGTGTTTGGTGGGTGCACTTGTACGAGCACGACATTCAACGACCTGTGGAAGCTTGACTTGTCGGCCAGGAAGTGGTCTAGGCTGCTCACTATGGGTACGTACCCGACACCCAAGGCTCTGGCCACGCTCGTCTACTACGAGGGTCTTCTCGTCTTGTTTGGCGGCTGGACACACCCCACCCCGTTCCCTTTGCACCAGGTAACTTTTTGGTTGTCTAATGAAAATACAGTATATACACTATTTAATTAGGATGTGTTGCCTGGTAGTTAGTCTAAAAAACTTCAGTGCGAGAGAGGCAGGTACGATTCCCGGCACACCCGGACAAATTATAAGGGTTAGGACTGCTTTCCCTATATTCCATGACAACATTTAAATATATAGCAACTACTATATTGTTGTCTGCAGGGGTGCCCATCACCCCCAAAGCTCACGTCGCAGAACCCCCCCCCCAAAATTCCTTGTTTAACCCAGGTCTGGGGGCTAACCAAGGCCCCACTAGAAAAAACAGGCCATGCTGCAGGATCCATTACCTGTGACTAGTGGATAGATTTCATTGATAAATTCATTGTCATTGCCATTCCCATATTTTTTAGGTAAATAAACAAGCTGGCTGTTTGTAAGATTTTAATGGTTAGAGTTTAGTACAACTATCCACCACTGTGACGTAGTGTTGCGCTGCCCGTGCAGCATGGCCTGTTTTTCTAGTGGGGCCTTGGGCTAACCCACAGTTAAAATGTGGGGTGAGGGAGGGGGCATCCCCGACACTTCTTTAAAATTACACTGCAAATTTATGGGAATTTAAGCTTTTGAATCAAACTTTTAACTCAAATGAATAGACAATTTTGCTTTTAAAAGTGCCAAATAATAGAAAAAACTAATTATCGGTGGATTTTATAAATAATTCACCAAACATGCTACAAGTCAGATAGTGGAAATCCAAATAAACGCATTTATATATTTTATAGCCATTATAAAATGATTTATTTACTAAGACAAATTGTCAAATGGGATTTTGATTGCATAATTAATTAATTAACGTAATTAATTAAGTAATAAATTAAGGAAGTCGTAAAAACTATCTGATAATTCTTTTATGTGCTTCTAACCAACCAATGGCTTGAATCCCCCCAAAAATCATAAAATCCCCCCCAAAAAATCTGATAATCAAACCCCTCCGGTGGGCACCCCTGGTTATCTGTACAAAAACAAAATTAAAATTGTTCCGGTTTTGAACTAGTTTTGAATCCAGGCGTGGAGGACATTCAACGAGTTACATGTGTACGACATCGGTGAGAACAGGTGGAGTTACGTGATCACGCCACAACTGTCACCTCCGCCCATGGCTGGTCACTCCGCCTCAGTACACGGGGACGACATGGTTGTGTTTGGTGGCATATGTGGACAAATGGTTACTGGCAGGTCAGTCATTCTACCCATAATAGTGATTCACTTAAAAACTAACTGTGGATGTTACTTAGAGGACAAGGGCTTAGGTTGTAAGGATTTTTAGTGACATAGAAATATTTTATATTATTCATTGTGACCCTTAGTTGGTATATATTATTGATCAAATAAAATGATTACGGTACCTTATCCAACCACAGTGGTTGGTATGACGAATAGTTTCCTTCCTTAGAACTTGGCCAGGTCATTTTGTATGCAACCACATCATCAGTGTATTAATACATTGTGGCATGTCAATAAATTCTTTAAAAGACTGTCACAATCACAATAATTAAAACTTCTCAAGTTGATAAAATAATTAAAATGGAATAAAAATTGATAAAACTGAGTTTAAAAAAGTTATATTAATGAAAGTGCAGCACTGTCTTATCACTGCCACTGACTAAATAAAACTGACTGAATCATGATGTTTCTTCTTCTCTCTAGTGATGATGTGGTTACATATAAAATTACCTGATTAATTTCTAAGGGTCAAAACTAGTCGTTCGTCATACCAACAACTGTGGTTGGATAAGGTAATCATTTTATTTCATCAAGAAATATTTGACTTAGACAAAATGTTCTTTTTAATGCACAATTCATATCGTGGTGTGTGTAAAAAGGTCGATTGATTGCATTTTCAAAAATGGCAAAAGCTGAGGGGTGATAAAGGGAATATCTCAAACTACTGTAGACTGTGCACGGTTTATCTGACTCTAAAACACTTATAGCCATGCTTTCATTACGGCAACATAACTATGGTATACTTTCACAGTTTAAATCAAATTCTTGCCTATAGGGCGAAATATTTGTTCAAAGGAGGAACAATAACCCACCGACCTGGCACCAAGTTTGTTGTCTTGTTGGCCCCAGAGAAGTAAAAGTAATACTGTAGTTCAAAGATGTAACATAGAGCAAATAGGCCTAGGTTTTAAGGATTTTTTGTGAGGATAAAAGCAAGCTTACCTGAATAGGAAAGAGTCCAAACTAGCACATAGACACACAACTTGACTCACCCAACTAAGGAAGAGAGAGTTTTCCTTAAGTCCAATATGGCGGCCAGAGAGTTATTGAGACAGTGTTGCAGTTTCAGTTGATCTTATATACAGCTCGTGACACCTAAGCTGGCACTTGGCCTAGCGCGGGCAGTGTAGGCGGGAGGAGGGTGAAGGTAGGGAAAAGACCGGACTGCAAACATTTCCGCTGCCTCACGGGGTTGACTCCCCTTGTATTATGTACTTGAGCGCCTTCATATGGGTCGCGAGGACAGTTGATGCAACCCGCATGACGAGACATAATGTTTTTGAAAAAGGTACTATTAGCGATCGTCCAAGTGCCAGCTTAGATGTCACGAGCTGTACACTCTATATACACAGTGTGTATAAGATCAACTGAAAATGTGTTTTTTGCGGGCTTGCATTGAAAGTTTAGGTTCATCTGGACATTTTTTGTGCATGGAGAGAGGTTTAGGTTTGGGCGAAACCGTACTAGTGTGAAAGCTCTCACATGATTCAATAGTAGGGATGAGCCGATTCCGATTCTCGATACCTCGATACCTTCGATAACAGTGGTATCGAAGAATCGCCGATACTCGATACTTCTCTTCATTGTACTCGATACTGATTCTGAAAAGTGAGGTTAATTATGATGCTAAACTCAACTGACATAGAATGTTGTAAAGAGTGGCACATCATAGTTTATTTGGAATACTCTGAACATGAAGTCAGCTAAATATAAATAATTCCAAGTTCATTATCTCATATTCGTAATAGTTTTATAATCCAAAATAGCTTGCCTTTGCATTTCACAACGAACGTTGTTCAAAATGGGTTATGATCTCTGTTCGAGTGATGTGACGAACTCCATGACTTTTATGTGATTCTTTAAGTAATTTAAGTGATATTGAATACGACTTTGATTCTACAACTCAAGCAATAAGGAACATTCATTGTAGGCCTGGATGTACAAATTCTTAAAAAAAACCCCAGTGAACATTTTAGGCCTACCTAAACCGGTGATTGTTGTCTCAATTTAATTTAGTAAAATATGTTAAAATAAAATGTATGTCTTCTTGAAGTATCTATTTTCTTTACAGGCTAACCTCAATAATCTATACCGGTATAACCTTTATCAACAGCAATGCAGTTATCTTATTGTAAAGATTAAATAAAAATAACATGCTCCTTTATTTATAGGGATAGCGAGAAGCAAACATCAGTTATATGTGTTATTAAATGAATTTTTAACAGGTATCGGTATCGAGTGCGGAATCGAGAATCGAAACCAAAATTGTAGAATCGGAATCGGTATCGTAATCGACCAATTCAGGAATCGGACCATCACTATAATAATCAAAACAGTTTTGTCTGATAGACACAACACTGGTGTGAAAGAAAGCTTAGGTGTTTTCCCTTCTTTTACCATATTCATATTATGTAATCTGAAAATAGCAAAAAGAAGATTTATATAACTCCAATGCAATTTTTTTTACATTTTTATTCGTATGCCAACATTTCTGTCCTGAATATTGTAAATTTTTTCTATTTATGAAAAAAAAAATGTCGAAACACTTCTGTTAACAGTTCTGGACTCATTGACATTGATCCTATAATTTAGAGACCTTTCTATTGCCAAATGGCCATATATTTTGTCAAGCCTTTCGGCAAAATAGAAAAGGAAATTTTTTAAAGGTATTGAATACCTGAATGTGTTTGTTGCAGTGCTAATGATGTCTGGTGCTTTAACTTTGTGACTCAAACATGGAGGAAACAAGAGACCTCGAGTCCCAAGCCAGTGCCTAGATACAACCAGTCTCAGATCGCGATCAACAATAACAACCTGCTGATCATAGGTAGGACTAAGATTCAGCTTTAATGCCAGTGCCAGTATTCTCTTTGTTTGAAGCTCATTTTTGGTAATGGTGGGTTTATGGTGTACATTCACATTTCCCCAATTTAGTAAAAAAGATAAGGTTTTGCGATGTTTTGGGCTCTGTGAAATTTGATCCCTACCACAGGTGAGAAAGTAGCTAAATCACAACAAGATTAGTAGGCTACACAAACCCAGCTGGAAAATAGAATAAACACACTGAATAAAAACTGTATTAAAATCAGTATTGTTAACAACTTCTGATAGAAATGTCTGAAATAATCGCTCAAAGACTACCAGTATCTTGTATGCAGGTTATGGCTGAAAACATCAAAATACATTTGTATTCATCAACTGGCTAGCCTAAACAATTTTTTTTCATCATTGCTCAATGCTTCATCTCACAAGGTAAGTTTCGAATGTTGTTCAATAACATAATTGTTGATAAGTGTTTTTTTATTTGCAGTATTTTCTAATTTCTTCCGATTTCATGGTGTTATAGTGTTGTAAAACATTGTAGGGGGGGGGGGGAATAAACTAGTATCCACCAAAGTAAGGCTAGGCCTACCCCTAGAACTAGCCACACTCTAATTTCTTCCCTGTAGTGCTCAGAAGGAGCCGAGACAAATCCAGAGGTCGATACCAAGTTTTCACGGTTTTGAAAAATCAAGTTATTAAATTTAATTGAAGGCTCAGAGCTCTAGAAGCATTCAGGAAATCCTGCAGACGCTCAGTTGGAGCTACATCATCCTCACCTTCGTTTAGGTGTTTTGGTAAATTTTGCCTAACTTTAAGATTAACTCTGTACGGCAGACGAATATTCTATCCTGGCCAATGCTACTAGTTTAACTACTCGTGTTAAACTTAAAACTGTTTAAGTAAAGGCTCTGGTAAAATAAATGAAGGTGCGGTGATTGAATTAACATAATATAGTATAAAAATCCCTACAGAGTCGTTGAGGCCCAATAAATATATTCAATTAATTGTTCAAATCTAAACACTTCCAAGACTTGGTTCTACCACGCGCCAATGACGGGGTTCAGAACTCAGACGACAAGTCTCTGGGTGTTAAAACAACGAATAAACTAAAATAAATTAACGTAATAATTATTCGTAAAGCGAACAGAAAAATCACAATTTGAAACTAATTGATTAAAATAAAACTAAACGATATCCACCGCTAGTCACTGGCAGGCAGGAACTGGCAGGTCTAGACTCAAGTCGGTGAGATTTAAGTTATTCAAATTTATTTAAAATTTAATTCGGAAACGAGAGTGCGAATGTTAAACGAAAATTAAACGTAAATCGTGGTAATGTGATTGACTAATATAGCTAACCTTCGTTAAACAAATTAACGATGATCGTACAAGCATAGATAATGTTTGAGTGTAACGACGAAGTTACTTCGAAGATGGCGTACAAACGAATAATTCTGTCATTTTGTCTTGAAGTAAAATCCTCTAATTCCAGTCCGGTAAATGCTTACGCACTCTAGCGACGAACTTAAGTACTAAACAACGGCTGATCGAATTTTCACCTGTTGAGCCGGTCTAGTTTTCGTCTGTCGTTTGTCAACAAACACCAGTCTTCAGGTTATGTTATGTCGTCGGCAGCGCTAAATATTGGTAAAATCGGTCGGTTTAACTTTATTGGCGTGTTATTACTGATAAATAAGTCGTGTGAGTGAGTGTATATACTTCACTGTGATTAAAAACTAGGCCTATGTTCTTTGGCCCATAGCCCAAGCTATGGCCAACACATAGGACTAGGAGTAGGGTATTGTGTATGAAAACTGTTAAGTTCTAGTGTTTGTTTAATCGTGACACGTTTTTACCCCCCCTTAAAATTTTGTACCTTAAAATTTACCTGTCCCTCAGTGATCCAATAGTCATCTACAAGGAGACCGGATTCGCGATTTAATTATCATCATCAGACTAGTTCAAATGTCACATCACTTACGTTGAGATATTCGGCAAACACACAAATGGTAACAAAAAACATCAAACATGGAAGAACATAAGGACATTACTTTATGTACAACAGGCCAGTATAGGATTCTTGTCATTTAGATGACAATCGGATTGCTGACTGACAGGTAAATTAATCCACATATGATTCTTTGTAATTGTCATTTTCAAGGATTTTTTTAAAGATTTAAAGTTCCTTTTAACACCATCAACCCATTGGGGAAAGGAATTAATGCGGTGCCTGCAGTGCCCTTGGTCAGCAGAGACTTTTACTCTTAATTGTTATAAAAAAAACCTTAGGTTATAAATTAATAAATTCTTTTGCCATTTTGTTCACAATAAAGTTGTCTACTAAAAAAAAATTATTGGATAATCAAAGTGTAAAATTAAAAACTTCAATTATAAAAAAAATTTTAATTTTTAAAATTGTTTTTTTAAGTAACCTTTATTTGCAAATTCCGAGATTAATCCAGACAACAAATGACTCTATTATCATAAAGTCCAATTGATTCCCTATGTAGAAAATCACAAGTTGATTACTTTAATAAGTAATAACATAGAAAATAAAATTTTTGTTTAACCATTTTTACCATTCCACAGCTCATTTTGGGTGGGTTAACATGACAACACTACCTTTGTTATTCCCAAAAATAAATGATTAAATACTCAATACAAGAAGCAAGATATTTATAAACATCATAAAAGTAAAAAAAATAAATTAAAAATCAAAATCGAGCTAGGTAAGTCGGATTTTGGGCATGCAGCGGCCAGACGAGAACAATCGTAAGTTGGCACCAATGGGTTAAAAATTAAAATTACAGAATTATGGAAAAAACTTCTGAAGGTACTATGGACTCTTGCTAATCAGGTTGAATCAGAACAGAAAAGTTATGCTCCTAATATTGAAATATAAAAACATCTTGTCTCAGTCTGTACTTGTTGTTTGATGACAGGAGGTTGTGGAGGCCGGCCCAATGTACTGCTCAGTGACGTCTGGCTACTGACGATGACAGGCAACATCTGGCAATGGACACAGATCTCAGTCACCAACCCTCAGTGGGGGATGAGTCACCCCTCCAATGGACAGCTGTGGTGCCATCCAGCTTGCAAGGTGAAACAGCAATGTTTAAATGTGGTTGCCAGTTCTATATTCAGGAGGCAAGGTGTCAAGCTGCTTGAAAGTTAGCTCAGGTGTGCCACAAGGCTCGATTATAGGCCCCCTTCTTTTTATCACAGTCATCAATGACCTACCAGCCAATATTAAAAGATCCTCTACCATCATGTTTGCGGACGACACCAATTTTTTGAGTGTTCATCCCAACTTTTATGATCTCATGTCAGTAACTGAGCTCACAACTGATTCAGCTTATATGTGGTTTAATCCTAATAGCCTTTGTCTTAATAAGAATAAAACTCAAAATCTATTGTGTAGTCTTAAAAACATTCCAGTAGAGTCACAAGATGTAAACAATGAAAATGTAATTACAGTTTTAGGAATAAAAATTGATAAATGTTTAAGCTGGTCTCCTCAGATAGATTTGGTTTGTGCAAGATTGTCCAGAGTAATCTGTTTGCTTAGAAATCTTATGGGTGTTGTACCTGAAACCTACATAAGGGTAGCCTACTTTGCATTTTTCCAATCCATAATTAGCTACGGCTTGATTCTTTGGGGAAACAGTAGTCACATAAGTGAAGTGTTAATACTCCAAAAGAAGGTAGTTAGAATAATAAACAAAGCTCCAATTGAAGAGCATTGCAAGCCATTGTTCATAAGAAGTAGAATATTGACTGTGATTAATCTGTACATATTTATGTGTTTACTTAGGGTTAAGAAAATACTAGTTCCCATGTTTATAGGTTTAATATCCATTCACACAACACACGTAATCAGTTCCTATTAGACGTGCCTTATTGTAGGTTAAGTAAATGTAAAAATAGTTACCATGTTATTTCATTAAGATTATTTAATAAGCTTAGCATCAATGCCAAAGAATTGGACCTTAAGTCATTTAAAAAAAGAGCTCAGGATTGGTTACTTTTAAATCCTTTTTATGACTTAGAAGAATATTTTAAGGTTGACGAAGTTAACTTTTAATGTCCTCACATTTCCACATTATTTTTTATTTGTAAGCATATGTATTAGTATAGCCTATTTTGACTTGTTTTTAGGCTTGTTTTGTTTTGCCTAAAAATAGGCTGTTTATGTAATAGCTGAATTTTCTTGACTTTTGTCTATTGCATTTGTTGTAAATGTTGAAGGACAATAAAACGTTTCTGATTTCTGATTTCTCTATGGTGTCTAGCCCACCTGAAAACCAGGAATTGCATGTGAATAAATCTGCCAATAATTGCTTATTATTCTTTCCTTGCATACTTGTGTCAATAAAGAAAATTTTGATCGCAGACACGATGGTGACATGCTTTCAGAAGTTGCCGTGTTTAAAAATATTATATTACGTTACTAGTCCTGAAAATAGGTGGTCGAGTACGGGATTACCATACGAGTCCAGTAAACACATTTTGGACGAGTGACGTATGATATTTTACGCCATACTACTAAATCTGTACAAATCCTTATATATTACCACTGACTAAAGGACTAACAATCACTAGTCATAACCTGTAAGAGAGGTTATGTTTTTTTTAACAGCCACTCATACCAAATACATTATAATCAGCTGTTTGGTGTCCAGTAAAACTCATTACAGTACAGTAGTACTTAATGAAACCCCATTTGAACAGCTGTTTTCTGGACTAAATCCTTGCGTGGGACATTCGTGAAAATAGTTTAGTGTGGCGTAAAAATTATTACGAATGTTGCTGCAACTGCGGTAAATCAGCATAGATAATACCGCGATTGCAAGAGATGATCACGGATGTTGCCGAGATTGTGAAAGTTCCAGATACTGCTATGGACATGGCAGATGAACAGGGATGTTGCTACGATCACTAGAAATCATCATGAATGTTACTATGATAACAGTAAATCACCACCAATGTTGCCATGATAATGGAAAATCATCACTGATGTTGCCGTAATCACTAGTGATAATGAGCACAGATGTTGCAGCAGTTGCAAGCGATGCTCATTAATAGTGGCTGCTATTCTGACAGCAAAAGTTTTAAAATCAATTGTTAAGTTTAGAACTGATTCAAAATAAAGAAAATAACAGGAGAACTGGATTTAAAAAAAACTAAGATTGAATTTGAAATAGTTTTTGTTAAAGAATGTAAACGTTCGTGATCTAACTATGTACAATATTAATGAAGTCTTTTCCTATTGCCGGATCAATATCGGTCAATTCTATTATTCTCCTAAGTGGAGGTGTTTGGGGAAAATTTAAGTTACAACTACGATAAAAAACAAATTTAAACTATAAAACAAGTGACTGTATTTCTCATCAATGTTTACAAGTCATGAAACAAATTTGGACAACAAAACAGACAGCTGATAGTAAATAAACATTCATATAATCTGTAGTATGACTACAGTACAACAAATAACCTGCTGACAAAAAGGTAGGCATTTTCAACAAATTCAATACTCGTATTTGATTTCATCATTTCATTTTTGTTTTTCTTAAAATTTGTTAGTATATATTTCATTCAATCTATTTACTTTTATAGCTGAATAATGTGTTTATACTTTATTCTTCTTCGATTGCAGGTAATTTTGGTTCTTTGGATGCTTGTGTACTCATACATAAAAGGAAAGTGCCTAAATAATAATAGTTTGTTGATTGACATACTTTTGTTTTCAGAGTGGTAACAACGTCATCTCTATTGGGCGTAACCCAACTTCTACGATGCCAGCGTTCTCATTGTCCAAGTGGAATCCTGTTGCGTCTATGCCACGAACACCTAATGACCTACAATCTCCTAGAAGGTGAGAGTAATATGACCAACACAAAGTAGTTTGAATTAACTTTTTTAAATGTCATGACTTCAACTTGATAAACTGTTACACTTACATACAGTTTTGGAATTTTTAGCCAGAAGCGGTTAAGGTGTGGTGGGATATCTTTGAAGATCAACCTATTTGGCTGTAGTGCGATCATATGTTCATACGTGTCAAATTTGGACTATTTTCAGGTTAAATCAAAACAAACAAACTGGCATATTGTCAATTAGGCATTTAGGGGCCGTGTTGTATTAGTTACGAAAGAATGCTCATGTAAGATAAATTTCAGTATTTAGGCTACTGCATTTTATAAACCGAACTCGAATCTTGCTTCCTTGGCCTATCGTATAATGTTATCCTGTTTGTACAAGGTGAACTTATCTGATTGCATTAATGAATGATCAGCAATAGAATTAGCTCTTAATTATAATTCAAATGGGTCAATACGTTAGTCTATAAAGGTTTTTCTCGTCATCTTGAAAGTATTTAATTCTGGTCCCTAACTTGAAAACCAAAAGGCGGGTCTATATTTATATGTTACAAGATTTCAAAACAAATCGTATATCATCATTACTGTATGTCCCAACAGTTATTTTATGTGTATCCCAGTCATAGCAACCACATTATTCTATTAATATGATGATCGGCATTCATTTTGCAAGAAGATTCATTTTTATTGTTTGCTCATATAATTAATTATTTTTAAAGCAACCATCACTTTAAATAACAACTTCTTTATTAGTTGATTTGGAATTAGGAATCACGTCACTATTTCACAGTAAATATTCTCTAAATGGCCAAGTACTTTGATAAAAGTAGGCTAGAGTAAGTTTAAAGTATATTTAACTATTGTCAATTCCAAGAATATGTGCCAGTTTGTTTGTTTTGATTTAACCTCAAAATTTGACACGTATGAGCACGTGATCGCACTACAGCCAAAAAGGTTCATCTTCAAAGATATTCCACCACAACTTAACCACTTCTAGTTAAAAAAAACCAACTGTACCTGACCTTTTTCAAATAAGAAAAGAAAGTAAAATGAGTTTTATTATGAAAATATTGCAAAGCATCCTTAAAGCTTTAATTTTTGATAAACTAAACAGAACAGATTTTAGTCAAGTAGAACCCGAGAGAAACACAATTAGTTTATGTAAAATAGTTTATTTTGAACGTACATGTAATATCTGCTTGCCTTTGTGATTAAAACAATTTAAAATAAGGCCTAACCTCAGAACTTTTACTTAGTATGTTAAGTTATTTATAATGGATATTGCTGAAGGAAAACATAAAATTGTTGTTTGATATAACAAATTTTACATTTCTATATTATTTAAATCTTGATAATCTGAAGATAAATATTTTTAAGCTTCACATTTAGTGTAAAATTGTATTCAATTGAAAATATAAGTTTTAAATTTGTAAGTCCAGTTTTAGGTTTTACTTGGTTTTTCAGGAAAAACCTATATTTTGTAAGAAAAGTTTAATTGTTTTGTTATTCAGGCCTTCAGATGGCTCTTTACCTCCGGTGGACAGAGATGTGAATGTTAACGGACGAAGGGGAGTCCTGCCGAGACCTAGAGCACCAGTCGAACCTTCCACGTCCGGGAGTAAAGACCAAGAAGAAGCTCCTGCAGATCCCAAGTGCCATAAACCAGAGATCAAGGTGGGAAAGTCTCCATTCCGGAACATAAACTTGCCAACCAATAACAACATGGCTGCGTTCCGAGCATCTCCGGGTGGAGCAGGGAAACATCGGGAGCGTCAGTTGGAGGCGTTGCACAGAATGGAGGAGAGACTACGTAGCTTGTCTCGCAACAATCAGGTAAAGGAGAAACTGCCCGAGGCCGTGAGGCAATGTCCTCCCAAGATGGCGATGTTTGTCATGGACATTACCAACGTGTTGACGGACAACGCTGTGACATGGCTGCCGATCAAGAGTGTAGCGACCGGAGCTCCAGAACACACCATCCTCTACTCACTCGTCCCCGGCCAAGGCGAGATCATCATGTTCGGTGGTATACAAAAAGATGTTTCCCAGTTTAACGTTGAAGAATCCTCTTTGAACGTTATAAACACTGTTACTAACACATTGCATTTCATCACTGCCCCGCAGACTGTGATCTAAGTTTTAAGTTTTTGAATGTACAATGCCTGTGTAAATTTGTAATGTAGTTGTTATCGGAAGTTTTTTTAGGAGCTTGAAAGGATTATTAAAATGTAAAAGATTACCATGGTTAATTTGTTAAAAATGAATTTCTGGGAGGTTAAACAAATCTGAATTAATTGAGTATTGATTCAGTGCATGTATGAGAGTTGTCCGTAAATTACTTCACTTGCTACTATTCTAGCTATAGGTTCGGCCACTCCTGACAATGGTCATATTCATATTATTCGAAAACGTTGCAAAAGAAATTCAAAGCGCCAAATATGTATCACATTCTATGATTAGATTTCTTCGGTCTCACTTGACAACTATTTTTGATGTCTATTTTCAATTGACTGACATGAATGGAGTAAAGAATCTAGATGTAGAAAATCAAAATATGCACAAGGAGTGGTAGTTCGGAGTTGGTAGTAAACATTTGCATGATATTCTCCATGAGCTAGGCTGACTTTTGTTGCTTATCAGTCTCAGTTGTAGCAATGGCCAAAGTTGGTGGAATTTTGCATGCGGACCGTGGTGTGATTGAACGAAAGAGATTATAAAACTAATAGTAAGACCATCAACGACTACAGTCAGCTCTGGAGGTCTGAAACAAACCGATCAACAAGCTAAGATTCCTCAAATTCAATCACCGTCTCGATGGAAACTGATAAGCACCCACTGCCGTACATTGTGCAAATGTATTTACTTACACAAACTCCCTAAGTAACCAATGCACATTTTCTATGCAAACAATTTATATACAAAACACTTTTCTGTAGAAAACACATGTGACAGCTGGCAACAGTAATCAACATGCAGTATTCCTACAGAAACCTTATCACAAAACACAAAACGTGGTTCATACTTGGCAGGAGCCTCTAGTCTATTTTATATTCCAATTTTGACTTTCTCTATGCCATAGTATGGAGAAAGTATTGTTTTGTAAAAATTGTTGAGTTTGAGTGGATATATCTCTTTTGGGTCCCCCTGAACCCATAAAAGTGGTTTCCGAAGTGATGTCTGTGTCTGTATGTGTGGATGTGTACAGAGCTACAGACCACACTTGTAGTCCGATTTTGATTAAATTTGGTATGTAGGTAGTAGGTACTAATCCATAGTACCTTCAGAAGTTTTTTCCATAATTTTGTAATTTTAATTTTTAACCCATTGGTGCCAACTTACGATCGTTACTCGTCTGGCCGCTGCATGCCCAAAATCCGACTTACCTAGCTCGGTTTTAATTTTTAATTTATTTTTTTTTTACTTTTATGATGTTTATAAATATCTTGCTTCTTGTATTGAGTATTTAATCATTTATTTTTGGGAATAACAAAGGTAGTGTTGTCATGTTAACCCACCCAAAATGAGCTGTGAAAAGGCAAAAATGGTTAAACAAAAATTGTATTTTTTATGTTATTACTTACTAGTGGAACCCCGTCGAAATCGACGGTTAATCTTGAGGTTTTATGTAAATTCAGCTAACTGCGTTGGATAGAGTGAAGTCATTAAAATCTTAGTTATATGAAGGGAGGATAAGCAATAATAAGTATGACGATTGTGTTCCCTAAAAAACGTGATTGATGAATTCGTTTAACACAATATTTCCTACCTTTCTTTTTATCGGCTTTAGGTTGCCCAAAAGATTTTTTAGGAGTCTTATAATTGTTTCTTCATGAGTTAGTTTCATACCAAAGCCACTTTCACTATATGGGAGAATGAGTTCATATAATTAGTCCATCATGTTACACAAAGAGTCAATATTTATTACGAACCACTAATTCCATCTGCTTTAGGAAAATCATTCAGATTGTATCCGGATTTATAAGTAAATCTTCATCTTCTTTTTATAAAAATATATGATTCTCCAGAAAGCAGTAACATTCTTACTTCGATCTCAGCAATTTTAAATCCTTCTCTTGCCACATCCACCCATGTATTTAATCATCCTGTTCTTCTTGGCCATATAGATCACATAAAGCTGTGCATGTATTTCGTGGATTGGAATGAACCATAATTGTAGGAAATTTTATCACAAATCTTGAACATTTGCGGAACCAAATCCATAACCTAGTCCAGCATTGGTAACAAACTATGCAAATGCGATGAGATGTGAGGACACTGTTGTGTTTCCGAATGTTTTGTATGTAGGCCTAGTGAGGTTTAGATGCGTTGTTCAACCTAGCTACATGTGTACATCAAAGTAAAAACTGTGTACACATTTTTTACCTGAATTGACATTAGTTCACCTACTTTACCAAAACCATAGACTCCGTAGTTAGTCTATTCCAAAACTTGAACACAGCTCTCATCCTCAACGTACTCATCTATGACACAATTTTCAACCCGATTATCAAAAACTGTTATACCAATAAATGAATCTCAGGTGTTCTTTCTTGAATTTAAAAAAAAATGGTGATTGAAAGTAGGAAAAAAAGGCAAGTGCCAACCTTACAATATGTATAAGCTAACCCAAGTCACACTTATTTCATAATTTTTTATTTCTAAGAGCAATAAAGCATAGATTTTTTAACAAAACATTTCAAACGTATCATAAATTCATCATTTTGTTGAAACTATAAAAAACTTGCCATGCAGTGAAGAATCCATTCCAAATCATAAATAATAATGTAAACATTTAATTTTGACAGTTTTAGTAGACCTTTGAATACAATTTTAATATTAACAGCTGGTTCATTAAAAGTAGTGTAAAATGATCCATATGGTCGAAATGTAAACAAAATTGCAGAGTGAACTTTAAAGGCCTCTGGGGCAGAGCTCCAAGGAAATTTACATCGTTTCTCTTTTGAGGGCTCACCTACAGACCAATACCTTTCTTTAGATACCCCTACCAAGTTTCTACGCCCAGCCGTTCTCTCAAATTAGCTGTGACAAAAACCTCGTTTTTCTCCATAAGAATAACATGGGATGGGAATTTAAAGGCCACTGGGGCAGAGCCCCGAGGGAATTCTCCATGTTTCTCTTTTGATGGCTCATCTACAGACCAGGACCTTTCTTTAGACACCTCTACCGAGTTTCTACGCCCAGCCGTTCTCTCAAAATAGCTGTCACAAAGAAAAACAGTTTCAAATTAATATATAGATTAAAGTAATCAACTTGTGATTTTCTACATAGGGAATCAATTGAACTTTATGATAATAGAGTCATTTGTTGTCTGGATTAATCTCGGAATTTGCAAATAAAGATTACTTAAAAAAATAATTTTAAAAATTAAAATTTTTTTTATAATTAAAGTTTTTTATTTTACACTTTGATTATCCAATAATTTTTTTTAGTAGACAACTTTATTGTGAACAAAATGGCAAAAGAATTATTAATTTATAACCTAAGGTTTTTTTTATAACTATTAAGCCAAGAGTAAAAGTCTCTGCTGACCAAGGGCACTGCAGGCACCGCATTAATTCCTTTCCCCAATGGGTTGATGGCGATTTTCCCGAAAATGGCCTGAAGGATTTTGATAAAAATTTAGTATGTCATATTCCTATAAATTCTAAACAAAATAGTACAAATCCCATTTATGTAAAAATTACGGTTCAAAAGTTATTGTAACTTATGTTATTTTCCCATTAAAAAGCCATAAATAACAAAAAATCTGATTTTAGAAAAAAAACCGGTTTTGATTCAAATTAGTACCTATGTTATCCTTGTGGTCCTTTAAATTCTGAACAAAATGGTACAAATCCCATTTTCGTACAAATTACGGTTCAAAAGTTATTGTAACTTTTATGATTTTCCCTATTAAATATAATAATCACTTTTTACCCATGATAAACGTTGTTGACAAGCTAATAGGAGAAAGTATATCTCAGATTGCCGATACCGTTTATTTGAACACTCTAACGAGATTAATCATCGCTTAGGGGTGGGAACCTGCTGAAGTAGCAGTGGAAGAAGTTAGGAACACGATGTTGGTCTTAGATTTAAACTATCTTACACAGCTGTGACTGGAGCTCAATGGAGACTTTAATTTACGGACAACCTTATATTGTTGAGGCAGCCATTCATTGTTGATTGTATTTTAAGCCTTCTAAAAGAGTTTGGGAAAACAAACACATGCATTCAATAAAACAAAGTTCTGTTTAGTATTTACTTTAGATTGTCAAATCAAGCAACCGTTTATTATTGTACATTTGATTAGATATGTCAAAGACTGTTTGTTGCACTGTGAAAGTGAACATTAGATGTATTTAAGTGTCAGCATTGAGCTCAATGAACCTTCATTACTTTAGAAATGATTATAAAAATGATTTACTTTCAACCAGTGAACATAAATTTTTACCCTGTCTAGTTTGTGGTGATGTGTTGGTACCACTTTTTAAAATCCATACCAGTACCAGATCCTGACCAAAATCACGGATAATCACAGTTGTTACCTTGATTGCGAGAGATGATCACGATGTTATGACCGCTAAGAAAGTGGTTTTAGTTCCAGTACCTTCTTGCCACCTTGGTTGCTGTTCTTAGTTGCATCACCCATGTCAGACCTTACTGTCAAAAGGCCTGTGCTCTTTTGGTATCAAACTATCGTTGCTTTTCTCAAGAGTTGGTAGTACTGAGATTTTACTTCAGGTACTGACACATCATCAATGTTAGTTTTACTAATAATGCTTCACTAAAACTAAAAGTAACAAATTTTTATACAAGCTCAAGTATAAAGGGTGAGGCCTTACAATAAGCTTCACCTACAAATGGTATACAGGCTACTTGGGGGCCATACAATTAGATGAAACACCATGTGAAGAAGTATATTTTTGTCGTTTTGGACAACTAGCTTGTTACTTAAATAAAAATGTTATACTTTGGTACTTTCAAAAGTTACTCTGCAACTTGGATTTTACAATATGGTTGATATTTTTATCATCAGGGCCCTGTTTCATATTTTGATCCCTCCCATCCACACTCCCCCCCCCCGGGACCGCCACTGTAGTAATACTTACAAGTCTACGTTTCAAAAACCCACTAGTGTAAAATACTAGTAACTAGTCAAATATAATATAAGCAATAATAATGTGGCGTAGTACAAAATGAGTGAAATTGAATTTTATAATGGATGTACAATCGCTCTATTAGAATAATTTTAATTATAAGTTATCAATTTATGTGAAATTTTTGACAAATTTTACTTGAGTTAAATTTCATGGTTATATCAACTACTCGCCTTTGGCTCGCTGGGGGTTCCGCCCCCAGGCCCCTTTTTTTGGTTGGAGGATTGTTGGAAATTTATTACCTTGAAATAAATCTATTTCTGAGTAAAATAATACACTAATAAGAAGCTAGTAAAGTACACTACTGCACTTATTATTAATCTGCACTGCTGCACTGTAGTCTAATGCAACTGAATTGTTTTTGATACAGAAGAAATATTAGGGGGGTTTATTTGGCGAGGGGGGTGTAAATTGTATACACTTTTCTAAATTATTCCTTGGTTTAAAACGAAGACTAGTAACTAACAAGTCTTGACATGTTAGAGTCCTGATGCAGAGTTAGTTGTATAATTGTTACATACATTATTCATGGTTTGTAGACTCAAAATTGGAAAATCACCAAACGGTTGTTAACCCAAATATTCTTATGCATGAATATTTGAAAACATAGGTTAGCGTACTTTAAAACACTCCAAACAAAATGTCCTTAGACGATTTAATTACAATCTCAATTTGAGCCTTCTTTTCTTTGCTCATGGTAAGTTTATTAATTTTATATGTCAGAATAACAAAAACTATAAAAATCACAGAGAATTTGGCAGCAACAGATCAGCTTCCACCTAAACTGTTGAGCGCTGCAACTAGGCCTACAACCGGCGACTAAAATGACCGTAGTACCTGCCATTTTGGATAGGGGTGCGGGTGAGATATCCACCTCGGGTTTGCGTCATTGTGTTTCTTTTGACAAGCCTTCAAAATAAGAGGTCACTCAATAGGGGTTGCTATTTGAAAAATAAGTCACCCTCTACCCCCTACCCTGTTAAAAGGGTGAAAATGTTATTTTGGTGGAAAAAATTGTGGAACCTTTGTTAAGAATCAATGACACAAATAGAATATTTCTATCTATTCCGGTTAGAAAAATACAGATTTGTTTCAATACTTCATTTACTATGTTCTATACAATTATATAAATACTAGCAGAGTACCTGTCCTTCGTACGGGATTGGCATATAAGTATAAAATGCTTATTGCATTTATACTCAAGCTTTGCGCTTACAATGGGGGAGGACACAGTTTTGTTCTCATTGCATATTACAGTTTTTTGTTGCTGCTTGGTTCAAATTAGCTGTTTTCATAAATAAAAAAAATAATAGTGCTGCACCCTGTGATAAATCTTATAACTTTTAATGCTTTTGCATATCATAGAACCAACTTTTTTAGTTGAAACAGCTGACTAAATTCTTTAATTCCCTTTAAAAATATGAATACTCATAAGGTTATCATGGGGAACTACAGAGCCACTGGGGCGGAGCCCGATATAATTTTGAGTTGAGAATATGCCTATTATGTTAATCGGGAATGTAAGCTATCATCATGCCAAATTTCAGCCGAATCCGTCCAGTAGTTAATGCGTGATTGAACTTCAAACAAACAAACAAGCAAACAAACAAACACACAAACTTTCACATTTATAATATTAGGAAGATAAGATATATATATATATATATATGAACGGATGGTGTTTTTGGCCTCTAGGGACACCTAAAAACAAATAAGTAAATCGGTCCCGGGTCCAGGTCTTACCATGAGTACTACGGTAATAGCTTATTCCCTATATAGGAAATTCGCAAAAAAGGCGGATATCTCGCTAACAAGGCGTATTTTGAAAAATGTTGCTCTCGATATTTGTTTTATTTTGACCTATTAAAAACTTGTTCATAAATTTATTGTATTTACTTACAAGACCCTGTTAATATAATTTTAATTTTAATGAGTGGTGTTTTTGACCTTGTGAAGAAATAAAATTGGAAAAGGAAATGGGTCCCGATTGTAGGTCTTACCATGAGACCTACGGTAATAGCTCAATCCCTATAGGAAATTCGCTAAAATTTCGACTGAAGTGATCTCTTGTTGCTATTGGACAATAAGTGGGTCAACCCTCATATGTGAGGAACTGATGAGGTCATACGGCTTAGTTATATATGTCTACTAAGGCCAGATATGTATGTCAAGTTCAGTACACAGAAGTCACTGTGACATAAACTACGTTAGACATCTAGTCACCAAACATTCACTGTCATGACTTCAACATTGTCATATCTCTTATCTGTGACTTGCATTCTTATCATCAACAGGTGAGGCCAATTTATAGTTTATATTTTTCTACCTTATTCGTTTAGTTATTATTTAGCTGTTATTAGTTTAGGTTAGCTGCGGCAGGGGTATTTTGATATCAAACTGCAGGGCTCTGTCCAATGTACTTTCAAAGTCACCATTAAGGTTCTTAAGAATAATTTAAATTTTTTTAAAT